TTCCTGTTTACGATCGCGTGTGTGCGTTCGATTTAAATACTGGCGGACCAATTAGAGGGGTTAATTCCTAAGTGATTTATGATCTCGACCGGGGGAGAGGGATCTGACCTTAAGCGTCGTCTGTAGGATCGTTACGCAATCGCCAACGAGCTTTATTTGTACAACCGTTAATCGACCAACACGCGCGCACTTTACGCTCATCCCTTCCGTATACCGACTCGGTGGATATGCCGGAATATATTATCTGCTCAAGTGCTCGTTAACAGGAGACGGTGTTTTACACCGAGGGAAAAAGATCGGCGTAGATTTCGTATCGGTTGTATTTTAAACTTTGTTTGTACTACATGTGATTTGTAAGAGCGAGATGATATAAAATCGATTCTTATAGAAATTGTAGAAATTAAATTTGATAGATTTTTTTATACATGTATAGAGAATAAAGAGAATAATATAATAAAAAAGATATAGCAACGTTTATTGTTGCAGTTAAAATTGGATATACTACATTACATCATTTTAATGCAATAATAACAAAATTTACAAATATCATATGAGATAATTGACAAAAATAAACAATATTCATATTTCTGTCATATCTCTCTGCTATCTCTGTCTTTTTATTGTTTTGACATACCGCCAAAAGTTACCATGTCCCACAATAGATTACCGGAAAATCCCCCAAAAAGATGTTCTCCGTTAAATTATCCCTAGTGACAATAATCACCAACTCAACCAACTGTCGTTAAATAACTTTCTTCTCGCAATGCGGCTCTCGATTACTCTCTTCAGCGAGATGTGTTTCCGCTTTCAAAGTCGATAAATCGTCTCTTTCTTGGCAACTTTTAACTGTTGCTTTATTTCGTTCTTGCATAACTTTGCGAGGGAAGCACTCGGCCTGTGTACTTGAAACTCACTCGAAGATAGTCTCGCACGCGCATCGCAATCGTTTCGCAATCGCTCTTGCCGAGAGCGGATTCGTGATCAGCCGTGCAAATCGTCAGAAGACGACGGGATTATTCGATTCTCTTTCGTCTGCAGGATCGAGGTATAAACGAAACGGGGAGGTCGCGGCGGGTTAATATCGATCGTTTCGCTCTCCTCTCAGACGGATTCAGGTGGATCTCTCTATCATTAATCTTCATCGCGATCCATGAATTTTGCGTTGGGAATGGCACGATAGTACGCTTGGAATCAATGAACTTTGTTTTTACAAAAACAGATGATGGATTTCTGTTTTTAAAATATATACTATTGAAAACAAAAATTTACGGATTCTGATAGATGTGATGTTGTTCATAAATGTATATAGATATTTATTCTTTATTAATATATGATTGTGTTGAATTTTAGTATGTTAAACTCGATTAAAATTTGGATTAATATTTCAACATTTTATTTAGTTTATTATATATATAAACTTTTATATTTTATTGATATTCTTTAATGTGTGTATGTGTGTGTGACAATTAATCTAGAGAAATTCTTCTTCTTACAACATTATACGACTATATGGTATACGTTTATATAGGAGAGTGTATAACATAGAGATTCAATATATCTTGTTTTAAGAAAGAACGTATTTGCATCGTATAATCAATTAAAACTCCCGTACATTAATGAAAGATTAACACAAGTCAGCTCAAGTTCTTCCTGTTTGCGCAAACTTCTCGACACGAACATCTTTAATTTCATGCTCGATCGAGACGCAGGAAAAAGAAGTATATATATTTATTTACTTATTTAATTAATTAAATATATTAAAATTATTATTTATTTTTATAATAATTTATCGCAAAATGCAATGCATTTAAATTCATGGAACTGTGCTCAAATATTTCCTCCGTGTTCCGGAACTTCGCGGCGCGCAAACTTCTGAATTAAAGAGCGCGTGAGTAAAAGGCGGAAAGAGTATCGATAACAGATATTGGAAACAACTTCGCCGACCATCAGTGCGTCGTTTGCCAATTGAAAACTGTCGGCCGACGAAGTTATCGCGTTTAAGGGAACGGCCATTTCGCTCTCCACCCTCGTCCGGGGAATCACGATTAATGCGCTATTAAGAGAGATTGGAAATCCTTTCGAACCTGGGAGACTTTCGTCGACCAATGGAACGGACGACTAAGTTTTCCCGGAACGTTCGCGCCGTCCAGGATTTTGCATTTCATTTGCCGGGAACGTTACTCCGCTTCGCTTTCCCGTTCTCCCAAGGGTACACTTGCTGCTCGCAACCTAGCGGTAGCCACGTCGGAGGTAAATCGCATTTGCATGAGAGTTTCTCCTGCCCTTCTCAGGTAGATTTCGGCGACCTCCTGCGCTCTGTGATACCGCTCGTTGTTTCCCCGAGAAAGTTACGATGTCCGTTTTGAGAAGATACTCTCTTATGCATGCGAAAATATTGACGATTTGATGAACGCTTTACTGCTTTACTGCTTTACGTTTGTAATTCATAGAAAGCAAATATATATAAAAATCTATTTAATTCACACATATATACATACTTACATACATATATACATATTTACATATGCGATTCTGCCCTCGAGTTTCTCTGAATTTTGGAATATTTTAATTTCTTCTGTTAAATAGAAACAGAATTTTAAATTTTGATTGTATTTATAAAATGCCTATTTTTTTCAAAAATGATAAAGTTTTGATACGGCGCCGATAATTGTAATAAAATGATAAAACTAAAATTTGCGTTTCCTTAACTTACAAGCGTTTAATTATTGTGACATAATGATTGAATCGTAAAAATAAAAGAATTTACGACACCGAAGCATTTACCATTCGATGACCGTTATAAATTGTTATTACGCTCCTATGAAAGGAGTTATCGCGAATCGGTCGAGGCAAAAGACAGCGGCTGGGTGTTTACGAGGAATCTGAACACGCGCACCCGGCCGATATTACCCGGCATTGAACTTGGCCCCATGCCTGAAACTTTTTAATTTATTCGCGCAACCTCCGCTTTTGGAGTTTGTTAACCCTTCGCGGTCGTTGCCACTGGAATATCGTCGCGTTGCGGCGGCTGCTTGTTTTGCTGCCTGGTAATATATCATTCAACGCGGTGCATCGAACAGACTGTTCTCAAACAAGCATTTTTGCAATGCATGGAGTTGAAAGGGAAAAATCACGAATTTAACATTTCCTCGTTATAGTTTGGATGGTCTTAATATTAATGAAATATTTGAATTTTTAAAATGCATTTTATTGAATACAGCCATTGTTATACTCTTAATGAATCTTCATGTGTGGCTATTATTTGCTTGTATAATTAGATTCTATAAAAGGCTAATAATGGAATATCATCACAAATCCTTTTATGTTTTATGAATTGGATTTTTACAATATTAAAAATATTTTACAATATTAAAAATCAAAAATTAAACATATTTACAATATTAAATATCAAAAATTAAACATGTTTTACAATATTAAAAATCTCAGCATTCAGTAATTTTATTTGTTTTACAATATGTATTCATTTCAATTTTTGAAGTAAAAAATAAAAAACTTTACATATATTACATTATATTATAATTATTATGCATTTTTAAAGTAAAAGAAGTATATATATTTATTTACTTATTTAATTAATTAAATAAATT